CTCACCAGGCACATCATTAAGCATGGCAGGGGCCTCCATCACCATGCCATGCCCCTCATCAAGTGTCAGGGAGGGTTGGATCTTGGTGATTATGCTTGTAGCACCGCAGAGCCAATCTAGACCACACCCTGAGGTGTTGATCTCAATGACATCGCTGGAGGTAGTCTGTGGGGAGGGCGGTAGTGAGTGTCCACAGCTCACTGACCTGCTCCCGTCAGCTGAGCCTTCCCAGGAAGAAGCAAACACCCGACGCCGGCCATCATGGCCACGGTCGTCACACCCACGGTCAGCACTGTGGTCATCACAACGCCCATCATCTCGGCGTTTAGGAGGCCGCGAATGACTGCGGAAGAGACCCCGCTAGGAGGAGGATCGCGGCCTGTCAGTGTCATGCCCGCGCCTGTCATCTCACGATCATCATCCCGTCGACGTCGATCATCGTCATCGCGGCGTCTTGGTGGTGGTTCTTGGTGGTCCCTCGGTCTGGCCTCTCCATCCACCACACCATAGATCCAGGCGTAGGGGTCCGGGCATGGGCGACGGGGGATGTTGCCAGCAGCATCGGGAGTGTAGTTCTCCAGCAGGTCCAGATGCACTATGGCACGATGACAGATGCTAGAGTGCCCAATGGCCGAGGATGGAGCTTCGCACACTTCGGTGGCCACCCGCGGAGGGATGGTGACGAGCTACACCTTGGGGATAGCCGATGGGTTCGCCGACCAAGCCTGCAGCTTGAGACAAGAGGCGTCCTCCTGCCGCAGCATAGCGATGTCGAAGTAGTGAAGGAAGGTATCCGGCCCGAGCACTTGAGCCGCCACTGCGTCAAACCATGCACTCAGGGGGATGCTCTCGATGTAGAGATGAACATGGTAGTTTGCTCGGACCACGTCGGCGTGAGCGTCAAGGCGCCAGTTGGTGGAGTGCAGGTCGAGGTTGTTGTGGCGGAAGCGCCTCTCTGCTATGACCTTGTCCCGTTGGTGTTGATAGTCGAACAAAGCGAAGAAATCTTCAGGATAGTGGGGGACAACCTTGACATCTCTGATCCCGAATTGCACGTCGATGGCTTCCTTGATCTCCGCGGCGCTCACCGCCGGTCTTGTTCCCCCGAGCCAGATAAGTGCACCCAGGGACGCCAAAGTCGCTGCATTGGAATCCATCTCCGGGGTGGAGACGATGGTCACGCGGCCCTCCTCAGGACGCAGCGATGGATCACCAACGCGAGGCTCCTGCCTAGCCATAACGCACGACGACGGCGTCGAAGCAGGCGATGCAGGGCGTGGTGAAGCCGTCGAAGACGAAGCAGAGCGAGGCGTCGACGCAGGGGACAGAGGGGAGGGTGACGGGTCATTGGTGCAGCCCATCTCCCTATGCCCAAATCTTCTACAACGACGGCAGGTGAGTGGGTTACGGCAGTCCACTTTGCAGTGGCCTCTGAGGAGGCAGCGATGGCACTCACGGTCCTGGAGCTTGACGAAATCCTTCGGCCGCTGGGGAGGGGAATAGGAGGATGCAGCTCTGCGAATTAAATTCCGGTTGTTGGAGCGGCCTTCACGCCACGAGTACGCCGGACGCACCAAATGCCATTCAAGAGCAGAAGTGACCTGCCTTGAATTCTCCTCTGACGGTGCAGGGCTTGAGGGAGAGCACCAGCTTGCACGCCGAATGCCGGTCTTGAATGAAGCCGCTGGAACCGATTTAAGGCATGGCATGTGTGCGCCATGAATTGGGGGAGGCAGCGTGTGTTCTAACACATCAGCATTAATGGCAAAGCTTACTCCGCGGGGCAGCTCCGCAACCTCGGATGTGCCCCTGGCGACCGCAGGGATTGCAGGGGCTGCCCGGGACCGCAGATCTAGGCTGACCTCGACCAGCTGAGGAAAAATGGAAGCGACCAGATCCGGGCACTGAAACCGCGGGCACGAGAACCTCGGAGGGAACCGAGGGGAGGGCGAGGTTGAGGGGGCGTTCGGCGGGGAAGCAGGGGCGACAGAATCCGCGGTGGCAGCGGCGAGGGAGGCTGCGGGCGCCGGAGTAGCGTGTCGCAGGAGCGTGGGGGCTCATGGCTGCGGGTTTGTCGAACTCCTAGTTTCTTAGCTGCTCAAAGTTTTTAGGAAAGGCATCTGTCAGCTCTTAATTTTGAGCATTCGAAAGGAGTTGTTAGCAAAAGGTTCCCTCAAGATTCTCTAGTCGCACACTTACGCCGCGCACGGTGAATCTCTATCACATTACTTTTGCAGAGCATCTATCCTTGGACCTAACTATCTCATGGACATCATCTAGTGACGGGAAGGCGTCGTTGGTCACCTCGAAGGAAGAAGAGGGGGAGAGACTTCCATGTGGGGTGTAGCTCGTTGTAGGAGTCAAGTTCGAGAGTTCGGTTAGGTTCATGTTTTCTTAACTACTCAAATTTGCGGAGTTAAGGTTTGCCGAGGTGTTTGAGGACTAAAAGTTTGAGGGTGCTCATGGACCTCATTGACATCTCGGAGCCTGACCATCTAGGAGCAGCCAGTTTGTCCTGAGAGTGATCTCTCTTGGGATGGTGCCCAGGTGCTCCCTAAAGGTATTGCGGATATGAAGAAGATCAAGGTGCTCCCTAGCGGAAGTGGGTTGGATCTGCGTCTTTATGGAAGTGGTCGACATTCGGCGACCTCCCCCGACGCCTCTTGGAGGCGTTGCCTTCCGCTACGTCCTCGCCCTTGGAGAAGCCGTGCTCGGTAGCATTATCGAGGACCAACTTGTCAGTAGAGCACTGCAATGAAGAACATATGCGTAAGCATATTACAAATGAATCAGAACTACAATGGTGATGGTCTTCACTGCACATTGTCATGCAGAAGGGGATGGCTAGTACAAGGATCAGAACTACAATGTGTAGAACCAACCATCATACCAATGATCACCCTGATACATGAGGTGCACAACAATGAAGATCACATTGACCTACCACCTAATCAATTGATCTACCCCCAAATTGAAATGTCCTAGTCCCCAAATCTAACCCAGACCAAAGCCCTATCAAACCCTAAATCAAAGCCTAAGTTCAGGCCTAACAAAGCATTCATTGGGCAGGGAAGGGCTTACTGCTGTTGACGAAGTGATGATGAAGCACTTGCGGATGGTCGCTGTCTAGATCTTCCCACCGCCGATGGTTGCTGAGCTGTCGATGAGAGAAAGAGAGAGTGATAGTGTAGGTAGGGGAGAGCGAGCGGTGAGAGGATTTATAGCATGCCTCCGGGAAACAAATGCACAGTCTTTCACTCGTTTCTGCACATACAACCACGTGTCTTTTGCTTGAGTCTAGCCTGTTAAAGTCGGTCGATTCAGTCGTTTCTATAGAACCAGGCTCTGAGCTGCTTTGACAAGCGTGCCATGCAGGACCAGCCGATCATGCATGTATCCAAATGGACCAAATTCAGTCTAGCTACCTCCTGGGTGTTCTGCGAGCAACCAACCATGTCCTTGAGCTCTCTGTAGAGTTCTTCCTCGAATTCGAGGAAATTCCACCGGCCACATTCCGGATCTCTCCTCGGATGCCTTTGCCGCCAGACGCAGGCGCTGCGGCGTGCACCTGATTCATGTTTAATGACTGTTACTGCAGCCACGGCCGGCGCGTGCACTTGGATCTGAGGCCCGATCGTAGATCCATGATCCATGTTCAATGGCATGGCATGCGAGGTGCAGGCCTCGTCGTCGTACCATGTACGTGTTCGACTGTTTTGTGCCCAGAGACGTACCCCAGCCGTTAATTCTCTGGAGAATGGGTACATGCACGGGGAGAAGCTAAATAGGCTTTGACGTCATGGGCACGCATTCGACGTGTTACGTCCAGATCAAGGAAGAGTGTCGATCGAATCAGCTAGCACAACAGAGGCTAAGATTGAAAGTAGTATACGTGAATCTCAAGGTGAACACAACACAGTGATTACCAACCAGTTTAACTGTCGGACTCTCTGCCACTCTTCGATCCATATACCTCGATAACTGAAGCCTACCATAGCAATGATACTATATACTAGCACTCAAACAAAAGAAAGGAAGCAATGATATAGCATACTCAAATCGGTCAAGCGTACGAGCACAGCATTTCCAGATGAACCGATCCAATGGATCCCAGAATTGGCACAAATTCAGGCGTGCTCCAAACCGGACACACGCACCGCAAGCACGCAGCAGGCAGGACAAACGCAGGAGCATTACGACCGAGGTTCCGATGAGTAGACGGCCGATTCTATTCCAAGAATCGAAAGCCCGAATTCTGAGCCTCGGATGCCACCCCGACACCGGGATGAGATGTTCTCTCTCGGATGCTCTGTTGCTCGCTCCTGCAGGCTGCATATCATGTTAATGACTGCCGCCTGCGTAAAGCCACGGTCGGCGCTCTGAATCGCGATCGCATCTTGTCATCGATTCCCATCTGGTCGCAGCAGCAGCAAGCGTATTACGTGAGCTTAACAATATCCCATCTTTAATTCTCTCGAGGTCAACACTGTGCTAGCTTAACTGTCAGCTTCCCACATGTAAAAATGGATTCAGGACGGCTTGCCTCGATAACTGAAGCCCACCACAGCGTATTCAAATCGGTGAAGCGTACACGCGCATCATTTCAGGATGAACAGATCCAATGGATCCCAGCAGATGGATCGGAATTGGCACAAATTCACGCGTCAAAACCAGATGCACGCACGCAAGCGCCGAGCAGGCATTGGCGAGACAAACGCAGAAGCATTCTGATCGAGTTCCCGACAACTTGCACTCAAAGGCCGGCTGTTCACTCATGAATCCATGAAGATAAGCTTAAGACCAATTTACGGGAATCACTGGGAGTGTTACATGTCACGTGTCTGGCCAAGATGCAATGCACACAGCGGCCAAAAACGGATGCACGCACGACGCGACCCTCTGGCCGCCCGCTTATAAAAGGAGCGCCTTGCGGTCTCGTTCCCGGCGAACAGCGACAGAGTCGCGCGCTCAGCAAATAGACTCCACGCACGTAGATCGAGATGGTGCATAGGCTTACACACGACGAAGGTGACGAGGCTGCCGCCACCACGGAGGGGACCAAGAGGGAGACGGCGGCGACGAGGAGGAGGACAAGGAGGCAAGGTGGTGGAGACGCCATCGCGGCGATCAAGAGGAGGATGCTGCGGTGCAGCGAGGCCGGAGAACGGGGGAGATTCAAGCGGAGCTACTTGGCAGGCGCAGGCGGCGGCGAGCAGGGCGACGGCGCCTCCGCCGTCTTCTTCTACCTGGCCTGCATCGCCTGCGCCCCCGCTTAGTTCATCAGCTCCTCTTACCTATGTTGTATACACAGGTTGTAATCGCCTGACTGGAATCACACATAGTCCGCGTCAGCTCACCCCTGCTTTGTCAGTGGTAGGCTCAGGAATCAAGATGCTGTTGTTGTAAATATTTCTAAGTTGAGTTTTCTCCCTCAATTTTGGACTCCTCCGTAGTAAAATTAGTAGAGCAAAGAAGGATTAAGCTTACATAGTAAGATTCAACAGGTAAACCGCACTACAACTCTGATGCCATAATATCAAGCCGTCTAGCAAAATTGTACAGAGCCAAGTGAGTTCAAAGCTCTGCTGTTATCACCTCCGACATCTTAAACCACCGCGAAAATCTGACCCTCTCTGGAATCTTGCAAATTGTCAGTTATAATTAAGGATCTGCAGCACTGATGCGACGCCTCTTTCGCCTCTCTCTCGAATCAACGCCCCTGTTATAACCTACTTTCTTCATAGCTCTGCCCTCCAGGCCAATATCCACTTTTGGAGGGTTCCTAAAGCAGAATGATGCAGCTACGTCCTGCCAAATTATAATGAACTGGACATTAGTCTTTTTCTTGTCTTTTTCTGTCAAGTCCCAAACTCCAACTTGGGGGTGATGAAAATAATATCAGCAAGTACTTCCGAGAGATGCTTACCAAAAAATAAGAAAAAGACAAGTGTGCTTCTACATGCTAGGTAGAACAATTGAAATTGTAAAACGGCCAAATGAAAAATATATAGACCCCGCAAAAAAGATCGACAAGCATTTTACCTTCAAACTGAGACCATGAACATTAAAGATGTCTTTCATGGTGTGTGAGTTGTATGCTAGAATGTAGGATCTGTAGGCTTGTTGAGCTGACTGATGCAGGAAGTAGTTCTCGCCAACGATTTTCTCCTGCTCAACAAATTGAGTTGTAACTTGTTATTAACATGTGAGAAAAAGTGGATTGGAACACTCAAGTGTGGTAAAAGATACACTTACAAAATGTGCTTGCAGATTTGGCACATTCTTGTTGTTAAACTGGTGTTCTGTGAGATGAATGTTGGCTGCCTGCAGGCACACTAAATATGTGATTTCGCTAACTTCAGAGGGGAAGAAATGCCATATTATCTCGGTGCAGAATTGATTACCCTCAGGGAGATAAGGAACTCTAATTCTTGGGGCAGTAAGAATAACAATACAGTTGCTTTTCCTTTATCACCAGGTGCAGTATGTCAAACATGATGAATGTAATCCTGAAAGTCAAATTCGAATAGCTTAGCACAATCCACAGGTCCAAATATGAGAGGAACTCCTGCAAGTCAAATTCAGATCATCAACGTACGTACCTCTGGTTCATCTGCCGGAGGATCGTATTGCACAATATAATCCTAAAACAAGGCCATATATCATCATTAGATCAGTACCCGGAAAAATATTTTGGTCGCACTCAATTAAAGATACACTGCCAGTCAAAACCTCACCACATCAGGAAGATCAAGTCCACGTGCTGCCACATTAGTGCATAACAAGACACCCTTCTCTGCCGTGCAGAAGGCGGAGAACGTTGCGGTTCGGTCGTGCTGCTCTTGTTTCTCGTGGATATCAGCACACTCTATCTGAAGAAAATTCAGAAGGTGCGCGTGGAACTTGACTGAACTGCGCGATGAGAACAGCACCATGACCTTCTTGCTAGACTGTTTCCTCTTCAGGAAAGCGTGTAGAACCATGAACCTCTTCTCGCTAGGAACCACACTGTATCCCAGCTGCAAGCCTTCAAGATTAGCCTGTCTCTGTCAGAGCATCGGTGTTATTTGCGCAAAGATGTTTCCTAATTCTCAAAAAAAGAGTCGAACAGCTATATATGCGATACCCTGCAGGTCTCCTGCTCCGCCGGCTCCTGCATCTCCTGCCCGTTTTCCACGGTGACAGCGGTACCGTATACCGTTTGCTGCGACTCCGTCGATCGTTCTGCGGAGCCCATGGATGCGGCTGCGGGCGACATGTCGGAGTTCCGTTTTAGGGTTTCTGGTGTCGTGGGGGTGGGGCTTCGCTGTTACGATAGTCTGACGACACGGGGAAATATTGCAAAAAAGTCCGTGCGTTGCAACGGGAGAAAAAACACAACACACACTTTTAACCGAACAACTATCATTTAAGACCACAATAGGTCCGTCTCCTTTATTTTAGCGATGCATCATATTTGTGTTGCTGCTTATCCTTCTTCTCACCCTCGCCGGCGGTGGCCTTAGTGTTCACCCAAACCAAAACGTGTTAGAATATGGTTAATCCTAAGACGTCTCTCTCTTCCTCTCTCCTTCCTCTCCCTCTCTCTCGCTTTCTCTCACACTCACGATGAGAAATTTGTTGTTTTCTCCTACGACGTATTCAGAGGTATGATGTAGCGACCCGACCTCAAACGATCAAGTCTCTGTGCTTCAGTGTCATCTCTGGATCGGTAATGCTGACACACACAGTACTCGAGGATTTATAACAGAGTAGCAATCACACACTTATTACATCGAATGTCTCAAAAAAGAACTTATTGCAGTAAATATGGCTTAAGGCCATCTAATACGATAACAGCAGAAGGCTTGGAAGATAAAGTGAGTCCATCAACTCCAACGACATAGCTGAGCTGCACGGTAACAACCTAACGAACCTTACTCCTCGTCTGAAAAGTCTGCAACATAATACGTTGCAGCCCGAAAACAGGTCAGCACATGGAATATGCTGGCAAGATAACACAGTAGAGCAAGAACAGAATAATGCTATCACTACATGCATATTTGGCTGGTGGAAAGCTCTATGGTTATAGTTTTTACGAAAAGCCAATTTTCCTCTACAACAAAGAAATAGATTTTATTTAACTATCATGGTAGTTGAAACATCATTGAGAAGGTTCCTCCAACTCAATTCCAATTAAAGTAATTAACAACCCAACAATATTAATTTAGTGTGATGAGATACTTAGGATACTCCAAGTACTAGATACTCAAGATGTCCATAACCGGGGACACGGCTAACCATGATTAGTTTATACACTCTGCAAAGGTTTGCGCACTTTTCCCCACAAGACCCGATCTCCTCCGTTGGATTTCTCGCACTACAGGGTGTTTGAGAAACGGATGACCGAGACACAGTCTTTCAGAAGCATTAACTCCTTACTCCGGACAGACCGTACCAAACCTACATCCCACTACCTGCTGATCCACCTCTTCGGGAGCTTCACGCAACTTACTCATCTATACTAGAGCCCATAATAGCTTGTGGCTGCACACGGAACTTTCTAGCATGAAAATATCTCAGTTCCCTTTGAGCCTGGGTGGCGGACCATAGGATTATCACACGTGTACTCCGGGATATCCTAGGACAACACTGGATTTCCCAGGTGCCCAACAAACAATCCACCCAAATGTGTGTTCAAGTTGCCACCTTAAGTTAAACCATTAATTAATAATCTCACATCTGTCATGAATTTCACTCACCCAAACCACGTCTACGAGCATAGCATAGCAATATAAGCAATACGTAGAAGTATCTCCCAAGGGTTTGAATATCACAGGGCAATAGGTTCTACCTCATCAACTACTTCCCAACCCACATATTAATTACATCCTAACCATGCAATGTTTGAGGATTGGAACTAATGCATAAAAACTGGGTGATAAAGGGGTATGATCAAAGTGTTACTTGCCTTGCTGATGATCCGCAAAACCTAGGGATTCGTAGTAGCACACTTCGCACTCCGGGTGTTCTATCGCAAACAAACAAAAGCATACATAAGCAATCAAGCAAAGAAATACGGGTAAATCTCAAATAAGAAAATCTAACCAGAAAGTTCAACTTAAGAACTCCGGTTTGCGAAAAGAATCAAATCAAATGGAGCAACGAAACTCAAACGGCGAAAGAAACAAGATCCGTTTACTAATCTGGACTAAGGTCAAATTTTACAGTAGCAAAAACTCGTTCAAGTTGGTTAAACGAAAAGAGGTTTTGAGACGAAGATCTAGGCGCTTGAATCGCCTGATTCCGACAAACGAGCGAAAAGATAAACTAAAACGAAAATCGGATCAGAAATCGCGATTGAAAATAATCGAGGAAAATCCGACAAAAAGAAAACTGACAAACAGGCTAACGAACGAGCGTTCATTGTCTGTTACTAACGAGTAAACTCTGTTCGTTAAAACAAACGTACGTATGAATGTCCGCAAAGTAACTAAACCGAGAAAAATCGGTGAACCGATCAAGAAAAACGAACTAGGGTTTCCAAAAAAAACTGGATCGGTTTTAAAAAAAACTGGCGGCGGCAACGGCGCGTTACCTCCGGCGAGGCTCCGGCGAGGCGGGGCTGCGGCGGCGGGGGGCGGGCTGCAGAGGCG